TGACAAGAAACTTCAAATCTGACTGCAACTTTTCCATCCGGGATCTAATTTCAGCAACCCTTGATGAAGTCGAATCCACTGGTGACGCTATCTCTGGAACTGGATCACTCGGAGAAACCATGGGAGTACCAGTACTGTTGGAATTCTGACCTTTGAGTTCAGCAATCCTGGCCTTGGCCTCCATGATTTTTTTGTGCAATCCAAACACACATTCCTGCTCATCAACAGGAAGGGCTTCTGGAACCCACATATCATTCTCAAGCAAACCCGAGTTCCCACCCACAGATTCAGCCAGAGCTGGCACAACCGGGGTTGTAGTAGGTGAAGGAATTGGCACCTGACGAACCCGATCACGTAGATCACACTCCTTAGATTCGCCCTTCTCATCCTCGCTGTCGTCAGGAGCTGACTTGTCCGCGGGGAGGTCCAAATAGAGTTCCTGAGAGGCGGAGTTGCGCGGCCAAGGCCGGTGGGAATTGATAGCAAACACTCCAACATATTGCAACAACTGTATACATGCATGTAATGTAGGGTTCCAAATATATTGAAATGATTCCCATAAAATCTATATATCGACCTCAGCCTGCAGTCAAATTCATTGGTTTCACCGGTTTCACCTTTACCATTTGAAAGTGTGCTGGCCCGATGAACCATGGACAATGTGCCGGGTGCAAAAAAGGCTCCAACTCGCCAAAGTGGGTCAAGAGCTCTCTGAAGTCTGCGTCCTCCAGGGGTAGCTATGGGGCATATATGATCCAAGGGATCTGAACCATATTGTGGATGGAAGAAATCTTGCACCGGATGATAGATGGTTTATCCAATATAGTCCCATTGCAGTTATAGTTATAAGTGTTACCACTATACATGGGCACGAAGCGGTGCAGGTGCAGGATTTCTTCCATCCATCATATGCAAATTGGAATGGAAGAAAATACATACTGTGGTTCCGGGAAAGACCTGGAAATTATGATCTGATTTGAACTGCATGATTGATAATCACATAAAAAAATGGAAACATGCATGAAGAAAGGAACCCTTGTCCCGTGGCATGTGAGGACGAATGTACTTGGCTCGCACATATGACACCAGCTTCTTAATGCTAATCACCGACAAATGAACCGGCACTTCCAACTCTTCAGGGATTGGAGGAAGGTTGTGGGCATCAAATCCCTGCTTGGTAGACAGCAGCTGGAGAATCCAAACTTGGTCTTGAATCGTCCCCATATCAGGTGTCTTGATCAGGTGGTGGTATCGCATATTCTCCATGATTGGGATCAAGACTTCTCTGTTCCACAAGGCATGACGTACATCTTTGGATGCAAGGGGCTGGGTATTGTTGGTTACAACAATGGCACCAATGCCGCCCTCTTTCACCCTCTCTTGGATGGAAGGCTCCATCCACCAATGCTTAGCAACACCATAAAGGTTCGCCATAGCAAGGCAGCAAAAGGTTTTTTTTTTTTGAGCCGGTTTGCTCTGAAGGGAACGCCCAAAAGCTTCCAGCAAAAGCCAACTGTACTTGCAAGATAGAATTCATGGCAAGAAATCAAATCAAACTTATTTCGTTTTTCGATGCCCCCCCCCACGTAATCAGAGCGGGCCTCAACGTGCTCAGCAGCGATGCAATCATCCCAATCAGGACGCATGGTTTCTATGCACATATTTCAAGAGACCCTGTTGGGAATCTATAATATATAGTCTATGCCACATAATATATTCTATGGCACCCATCATATATTTCTTCCATTCTCGATTTGGGGTGCATGGTCACATGCATCTTCCCCTTTTTTATTTCACATCATTCACATCCATACTGTGAGCCTTGGATGCAAGGATCGGGCGCACCTCCAATAGCAATATCGTGAATTGACCAAATTATCTGGTCATTACGGGTAAAATTGTTCATTGATCATTAAAAGGTGTATTCGACCAGATTTTCCCATAATGAACAAAAAATTTTGTTCAAACGGCTTTCCAGGTATATATACCTTATTATGTCACTATTATATATATAATTATATATATATAATTATATATATATATATAATTATATATATATAATTATATATATATAATTATATATATATATATATTCCCAAATTCCCAAATATCAGTTTGTTTGATCCTTGTATGTCATGTCTAGTCCAGTGTCGATCGTTCCCGAGTCACAGTCAGGGACCGTCCCTTTCTAAAACAACGCCGCGGCGCGGCTCGTGTACCAGGTCCACTGCGGCAAGGTGGAGGGCAGAGCTGGCACCATCGAAAGCCTGCCGGTGTTAGGCCTTCCAAGGCTTGAACGAATCATGGGTTTTTCCATGGGTTTTTCCAGAAAAAAATCGTGATTTCACCATATTTCACCCAGAAAATTTATGGAAAGAATGGAAAGACTCAAAATATGTTTGCTGTTCATCGAACGCTGCGATTTGAATGGGCTTTGGTCGGTGAAACCAGGAGTCAAAATTCAATGAACATATGTATTAATACATGTGCGTGTGCGCTGTTTTTTGCACAAAATAATATGGGATATCGCTGCTACGACTACTTGTTTCATCCTGTGTTCATCTGCTACATCATGGATCGACTTCAATGGATTTATTGGGTTTTTCTTGCTCCTGGCCCCCAGTGAGGTGGTTTTCAAAAGGTTTGCCGTCGAAAATTGCCTCCATCTGTCCAAAAATGGGGTATAAACCGGAATAGCCATTTGAATAGGTAAACACGACTATATACATATATATATACATATATATATACATATATATATATATATACATATATTATACTATATCATTTTTTTTAATTATTATGATATTATTATTATATTATTATATTATTATTATATTATTATAATATATTATATAATTGTAATATATTATATAATTATAAAATTATAATATATTATATTATGCTATATTATATTATATTATATTAAATATTATGCTATATTACTATACTATTATTTCATATATTATTTATTATTCTTATATTATACAATATTATATAATATCATCTAATATGTATATATATATATGTATATGTATATATAATGTACATACCTACACACATGACATAAATATGATGATAAAAGCATGACAAACCCGTGGATTTCAGGGGCGCTCCGTCTCTCGACAAATCCGCTTATTAAATCTCCATCCATGGAAATGATATGGTAACTTATTTGAAAACAATTGATCTCCAATACATATGAAATGGGTGTGTCCTGAAATAGAGGTACCCCCAAATCATCCATTTATAGATAATTTTTCCATGAAATCAACCATCTATTTTCATCTATTTTGGGGTACCACCATTTATGGAACCCCCCCAAAAATCTCCATCCAACCGCAGAATTCGTCCCCAGATCCACCAACAAACTCCGCAGTTCGCGTTCAGCGCGGCGGCTGCAATGCTGCTGCACGCAGTGCTGTAAGGCTTCGCGGAGGGCATCCTTGAAATGGCGGGAGTTACCGGTAAGTAGGATCTTACTAGTAACTGGTCGGTGGTTGAGCCCTACCCCTCTGAAAAATATGAATAAGTCAGTTGGGATGATGACATTCCCAATATATGGAAAGTCATAAAAAATCATGTTCCAAACCACCAACCATATATATATATAAATGATCATGGCATGTTACATAATAAGAAACATGTAGAAATATGTAATAATTGTCTGTACACATACAGACCGAAAAATGTTGGTTTCTATAGTATTGTAAAGATAATGGGAGATAGGAAAAGCTGACTGGGATATACCCTCTGGTAATTTGTTGCATAGCTGTGGGAATCACCATCTATAATGGGTAAATCATCCATAAATTCGGATATGTTCCATAGCTATGTCAGTTGGAGTATCGATATGGGTTATAATATATTTATATATTGTATGCATATGTTGAAAACTTGAATGTGAATAATCATAAACTTTCGATCACAAACACCCAAATAAGGGCTTAACACGGTTCAACCGACCAAAATTGGTACGGCTCCCTTAACAGGTTCCCAACTGACAAACCATCCACCGCTGTCCTGCAAGGAAGGGCCGGCACGTTTGGATTCCATGGCTTGCAGTCATTCCCTCTGAAGCTGTGAAAACCCGTGTCTCACGATGACGACCTTGACTTTTTTGGGAAACCCATGGTGAACCCTTGGGCTGATTCAAATTTGAAAATGCGGGTATATACCATTTCAGAAGCAAATGAAAACACTTTTTGATGCTACTGCAACTCCTTGCCTTAGTCAAGCAGAAGATAACAGAAGTATCAAGGGTTTGTTTATCCAAAACCTACATGAACATCCGAATGCTAAAAGAGAATGCCCGGGCCATGTTGAAAGTTGCCAAGCTAACGGTCAGAAGTGTTGGGCCCGCACCAATGTTTGGCATGTTTGTTGCATTCTAAAACTTATTCTTGAACCAGCTGACGGCACAAGGTGACATTGAACTTCTGATCTTGGAGTTGGTGGCCATACAATGTGGGGCCCCCCAGTTATAAGATGGTTTATAAACCCCATTAACTATAGTTATAGGTACCATAAACCATAGTTATTGGAGTTATAAACCAACTTAGCTATCTAGGGGGCCCCACTTTGTAGGTATCATAGGTGAAACATGGTGAAACTTTCTTGCCGACCCACACACGTGTGGGCCTATTGCCCATAGCAATTCTGCCGCCGGACCAGCCTCAGAAATCCTCAGGACCTGAGTTCTGTTGCAGCTCCTGTTGCGATGTGTTGCGTGCATTTTTTTGGTGACAATCGATTCATGATTTCAATGATTTTTATTGCTGGTTGGTGGTTTTAACATGTTTTAACCATCTTGAAAAATATGAAAGTCAATGGGAAGGATTATCCCATATATTATTGAAAAATAAAAAATGTTTCAAAGCACCAACCAGTTTTTATTGTAAGTTCCAAGACCCACGCATTCGAAATTCTGATGTCCAAGTATGTCCAAGTTGTCAGTGTGTCATCAAGCTTGCAATCATGAGCATGGTCCAAATCTTTCTCCATGGGCATCGCTCGTGTCACTGGTGTCGGCACATTTTTGTCTTCTCTGCCGATTGTTCTGCAGAAAGTTGAGCCCTCAAAACTAAGCTGCAGAGCCATGGACAGAGCCCTTGCACTGCAAACAGCTGCCATGACACTGGCTATGCCCACTCTTGAGGTCAGTTTCGTCCCTTTTGGACTAGTAACCAGCACCTAAGTCACATGAAGCCGGCTGGTCCAGCATCAGGAGCTTCCATTGCAGTTTTCAAACCATGCATATATATATACAGCACATATGAGTTCGTTTCAATCATCTGATGGATGGAGCAAATACATTTATATACATCAACTCCAAAATTGGCAAATTCCACCAAAAACCACCATAATTAATTGTGGTAATTAAGATCGATTCGAACAAATGTGCTCATTCGATCTCATTCGTACATTTGAGCCAGCTTTACCATCAATTTTTCTTCTACCATATCTTACCATCACCGAAATATCACTAAGGCACATTTCAAAGGGCCATGTAGTCCCCATCTTCCACCTGCGTTTTCCGCGCCATCAGCGCTGCCAACACCGCGCTCAGCGCGGCCACGGCCAACGCAGCGGCCGCGACCGTGGCGTCAAACGACCGGGACGTTCCCTGGTGAGGCGCCATACAGGGGGCGATATGCTACATCCCTGGTGGATTTGTGGATTTCTAGGCGATTCTGATGGGATTTAAACTATCAAAATCAGCATAAATCCCATCAACATGGAATTTGGGCGTGGCTTGAATAGGGGAAACAAATGAAAACAATCATTTGCGGCTATTCTAGTAGAGAACATTATGATCAATCATCAAATTTGAGGACACCACCAAGCACACATAAAGGATATCAGATATCATCCGCTCCATGACGCCGTTTTTGCACTCCAGTACTACACTTGGTGTTGGCGAGGTGTCTGATATTTGCAGGGTCGGATTGTGTGGACCAAATCCAACACTTGATAGCCAATTTTCAGAAGCAACGAGGAAAGCTACTGAGATTCATGTGTGTTTGCTACATACGCTCCGGCAATGCATGTAACCTGGCAATGACAAATCAAAAAAAAATAGTATGTGTCCATTTCGAGACTCAAAGAAAAACGGTACTGTATTTCACAGCCAGCCATCACGTTTCAGCAGAGAGTGACATGTTGGATGGTCAAGTCCGATGCCCAGAGTTTTCACGTGATTTCACCCAGAAAAAGGGTTCCCAGGCTGGAGTTTTGCATCTTAGTGGGATTAGTTTGGAGTAACATCTCAAAATCTAGATTCTTGCAAAAAAAAAATCCCCGTCAAAGAGGTCGGTTTACACCAAAAAAAAACTGACATTTATCTGCTATAAAGCCTAGTTAACAGTTGCCTGAATTTGTTAAACTTCCCGAACTATGGAAACCCATCTTTTTTTTGTGGGACACATCTTTCGCGCCTTTCTCGTGGCCTCCGGCTCGGCCGTGGCCATGGCGGCGTCGAAGATCGCCTGGACCTCTCTCTCCGATTTAACAATGGTGGCAATTTCCGTAAGGTGGTTGGTTCAATTTTTGAATTCACCAGGATCTATATCCGACATTTAATATACACTATAAAAAATGGGATTTAAGCGGTGATTCTATGGGATTTATAGAACTCCAAGATTCTTCGCTTTGGACAATGCCCATTTGTTTATAGGTAAATAATCAAACTAAATCGGCCATTTTCCAATAGTATATTAAAATAATTACTAGGGTATGATGGAGATAACCGATTTAGATTGATATAATTTGTTGGTACGAAACGCATTCGTATGTCATTTTTTGAGTCATTGTACATCATGTGCCGGAATTTAGCTAAGAAATGGGAATGAAATCAACCCGTCAATGGGATTCAATGGGGATGTTTGACGCGATATATGTCTTGCCAACAACATACAACATGATGTGGGTGTCTGAAACTTAAGACACCCATAAGATACTGGATTTATAGCATATTCAAGTATTTGATGGATGAATACCGGGAAGCGTAAATGGAAACAGGATATTTTTTCGCAGGCATTTTTCGGGATTTCACATGATTTAACCATAAGAAATTTGGAAAACACATGTACCCAACCGTACCGTACCAGGGAAAACACATGTACCAACCGTACCGTACCATGTGTTCTTGAAATCTCGCTAAGCCCTCTACCTGTCTTGGACCTAGCTCAATTTCACGAAGAGTGGAGAGTCTGAAGGAGGTGCCCTCACACAGAAGGCATAGGAATTTTCGATGGAAAATGATGATACCACCATGATTTTCCACATCAATGCTCAATTCTGATGTGGAAAATCTACAACATGTTACCATTAGTATTTTTAAGATCATACAGAATTTGATGGGAAGGGAATTTGATACCACCATTACCACACAATCTATCACTAAAAATAAATTGATACCACAATGAAAAACACCATTAAAAAAAAAGTATCAATGGTGATAAACACAAATCTATCCCATTGATATCATAATCTATAGTACTAATCTATCAATGAAAAACACCATTGGATTTGGGGCCCAAATCCCTGGGATAGCCATTGCCAGGATGCCTTCCTCATGGTTTCCTCCGACACGTGAGATTTGGGAGTGATGGTGTCCGAGCCGGTAGCAGCCTGGGCGAAGCGACCATTTTGGGAGTGGTTTTTTTTAAACAACCCATTTGCCGGAAGCCCAAATTTGGTTGGTGGTTTTTCGCCACCAACCCCTCTGAAATATGGTGATTATATGGTTTAATATGGTGCAAAATCCCATTGATGATCATACTTAGCTACTTAGCTGGTTGGTGGTTGAGCCCTACCCCTCTGAAAAATATGAAAGTCAGCTGGGATGATGAAATTCCCAATATATATATATATCTCTCTATCTGGGTAAATTACTATATTTCACTAACCTGAATAGTTCGGCCATTTTGGGATGATTCCCCTTATTAACCATGATTCCAATGAGGGAGAACAGTGAGGTCGTTATAATTTACCCAGAGTAATTGTTGGAGATATGATACTGAAGCTTTGGCACCGGTGGCAGCACAATCAGCACAATTGCCATGGGCGAACCAAACATGTTCTTTCTCTGTGGCGGGGATACTTGAAAGCCAATGGTGTTAATCTGAGTCAGAAACTTCCTCGTCCGACCTCGAGTGCCATTTCGCGTTGGCTTGTTTGTTACAAACTTCGCTGCTCCCCGGCACGGTTGAATTGCAGGGCGACAACTCGTGACTTCACAGGATGTTGCGGCTTTTAACCCACAAGTGGAGCGGTGAGGCGTGGATTGCAGAGCAGCAGGGTCGTAAATACCACCCTGCGGCCGACCGATAGTGTGCAATAATTGTTGGAGATGGTTTCGTATTGGCTTCGTTTTTTGACCATCTATCTATCTATCTATCTATCTATCTATCTCTCTTTCTCTGTCTTTCGGCTGTTTCGCTCCAAGAGTTCTTGATCATCAATCCTATTTCTTTGCCACTGAGCCTGGTCCTCCAATTGGAGCCTATTCATTACCCATGAAAAACGCACACAAGATGTCCAGACAATTTTGGCCTCCATGGAAAAGTCAGAGAAACGCATGATGTTCCCTTAAAAAAATACTGGAACTCTGCGCGAAGCTTGTTGAAAGTGGATCGTATCATCACCACACCTTAATTTCAAGCAATACGACAGGGATGCCTCAACTTGCAAAGGGTGCAATAGCCACTTCATTGCATGGAACTGGATGGTATCGCAAGGTGAGTTTGCAGCCTTAAAATCATGTTTCATTACCTGCATTATCTCTTACATATATATAAATATATATGTATTGATATATCTATTCATATTTATGTATATATATATATATGTACATCCTTATATCATGATAGTTATCATGATTCCAATCCCTTTTTTGTGGCCCAAATCCACCCATTTCTTGGGACCGAGCTCGCATGCTGGCCGCCAGCTCCGCTGCGGCCCGGGGCGCGTCGGCCATGAGGCCATCGGATGCCACTGCGGGCATGGGAGCGATGAAGTCCGAGCCGCTGGCCGCCTGGAGATCATGAATTTTGGATGGGATTCAGGGATTCTACCATATTATTCCATTTATACATGATGGTTTAATGGTGGTTTGATGGGATTTAATGGGATTTAATGGGATTTAATGGTGGTTTGATGGGATTTAATGGGATTTAATGGGATTTAATGGTGGTTTAATGGGATTTAATGGGATTTATACATGATTTCCCCAGATATAACTAATTAAAGATGATTTATAGATGGTTCCCTCCATTTATGGATGATTTTCCACTATCCTCTGGTAAACTAACAGTTTGCGAACTGGAAAGATCCACCATGCTATTAATGGGTAAATCAACTATTTCTATGGCCATGGTTTCAATAGCTATGTTAAATTACCAGAGGGTTTATATATATATATATGTGTGTGTGTATGTATGTATGCATGCATGCATGCATGCATGTATGCATGTATGCATGTATGCATGTATGCATGCATGCATGGATGGATGCATGTATGCATGTATGCATGTATGCATGTATGCATGGATGGATGCATGCATGCATGTATGTATGTATGCATGTATGCATGTATGCACGTATGCACGTGTATGTATGTATGTATGTATGTATGGATGGATGGATGGATGGATGGATGGATGGATGCATGTATGCATGTATGCATGTATGCATGCATGCATGCATGTATGCATGTATGCATGTATGCATGTATGCATGTATGCATGTATGTATGCATGTATGCATGCATGCATGTATGCATGTATGCATGTATGCATGTATGCATGTATGCATGTATGCATGTATGTATGTATGTATGTATGTATGTATGTATGTATGTATGTATGTATGTATGTATGTATGTATGTATGTATGTATGTATGTACGTGTGTATGTGTGTGTAAATATACTTGATCATATTCTATCATGATATACATATTTATGTACCTGCATACCTATAATACGTAAATCATACATTAAAGACACCATGGTTACAGCCCGGCACTGACGACTGTGACAATTTTGTCATCTAAGTCGTATGTATGTACATATATCCAAATACGAGAACCATGGGATATACCCAACTTTTCAATCTGATATCGGTCGCTACCCTGTTGCCCTGCTGCATTATTTTTGCAAGGTTTGAAAGCACAATTACTCAGTTAACTTACATTCCCTAAATTTCACATGGAACCCAAAAAATGGTCATATCCCATAGCATCACAATCTTTCGAAACCAGTCAGTGTTTTCTTGTTTTAGTAGCCCTGGAAGCTGAAGCAGAATTTCAACAACTCATGGCCTTATGCTGTACCTCATATTGCAATACATTGTACCACTTTAGTTGACTTAAAATCCCCATCTGGTGAAACCGTCCCATCCAATTGGATAAGCAAAATATCGATAAGCAAAATCTGCCCCGATGCCAACATCACTATCATCACCATCCAAGTGTCCCAATCCTGTACCTCATATTCTACCACTTTAGGTGACGAAATCCACCAGTCGGGTGAAATCATTATCCTCTGGTAATTTGACATAACTATGGAAAATCACAATTTATAGTGGATTTACCCATTGAAAATGGTGATTTTCCATAGTTATGTTAGTTTACCAGAGGGTATCCTCCACCCTAAAAAGCGCCTTTTGCATCTCTTGCACTTTGACGCTACGGCGATCCGCCAGCCACACGGCTGGCTTCCAGGGATCAAAGACCGCATAGACCTTGCGCAGGAACGTCTGCCCCAGAATCCTGGGTGCCAGCGGTGCCCGGGGCATACCCAAATCATAAACCAACAGTAGCCTCTATTAAAACCAACATGGTTTGACATGGTTTGACTATGGAAAATACTATGGGTAAATTCATGTTTAACTATGGGTAAAACCATGTTTAACTATGGACATTGATTTAGCAATGTTATGATTTGGCAATATATCCATATCGCTATTACAATTATTAAAACAAACATAACTATGGAAAATCACCATGTTTCAGTTCGGTCAATCAACGAACTAAATCACAATTTCCTATATCACCATGTTAGTTTACCAGTGGGGATGGTGTATCATTGGGTGTATCGATTCTGATCAAGTCCCCATTCGAAGAGGTCAAATCAAACACGTCGGAGCCTGGAAATTTGTCACAGTTTGCTTTCGGACATCACCATTAAAAAAATAATAATAAATCCATATGGGTATGGATCAATACCTATAAAAATACCATTACTATAGTGGGTTATTCACATCCATAAATCCCAGCTATTTTGATGTGAACATCTTAGGGGTACTATTGGTTTTGACCCACTGCCATATAAATCCCTACATTGGTATGTCGGTATGACAATGTTCAACTAGAATTGGCCCAGCATTCCCGCTTCCAGGATTAAGTCACTATTAAAATCATCGGGACATTTGCCAACTACATCTGGTTGGTGGTTTTAACCATCTTGAAAAATATGAAAGTCAATGGGAAGGATGACATCCCATATATGAAATGGAAAATAAAATTCATGTTCCAAACCACCAACCAGACATGGGCTATATGTTCCATAGCCAACTGGATAAATTCAGATGCTTCGGGCTTAATTACTGGAAACTTGGATCATCCATTCCATCCATTGGTCGATCATGAAACCTTACCCCATTTGAACTGGCCAATTCGCCAAAACATGTGGAAATTTACCCAAATTATATCAAATTATTATAACTGGTTGGTGGTATACCTACCCCTCTGGCAAAATATGACTTCGTCAGTTGGGATGATGACATTTCCAACATATGGAAAGTCATAAAATTTATGGTCCAAACCACCAAGCAGATAGTCAAACATGGCATGGAAAAACCCAGCATTCACTGATGATGTTCCCAGCGATTTTGTTACCTCCATGGCTAGGCCACAGAGATTTCACAGCCACGTTTCTGAACGGGATTCTTCAGGCTTAATATTGTATGGTAAAACGTCGATAAACCTCCCATAAATCCCCAACTATTTTGAGAGTTTAAAAGATGTTAAAACTTCTCTACTATATATGACTAGAATCATCAACCAATCATCATTCATCAACTATATCCCCATAGATTTTCATAGTAAAACGCCCAGTTGATCCCCGATAGATGGTTTTTTGATGTCATCCCGAGGCATGCCGAGGCACAGGACAGGCAGATTCCGCACCGCAGGTGGCATGGCCATGATGTTGATGCGGCAAACCTCCTGGGGAAAAAGCTGGCAGGAAAGCCGGCTGAAAACCCTATTGGTTTTTGCTTCCAAAGATGGGATGAAGAATGAAGCCAGCCACTTTTTTTGAGCCAAGTTTCTCAGGAATGTGTGGAAAGTTGCTTAAAAGAAACTAGATAATCCACTCAAGAAGCCAGCAACTAATAGGAGTTTCCTATCACCCTGTGTTTAAAAAAAACACTGAAACTCTGGCAACTTTTGATGGTTCCCTGATTGCTACTTGAACCATCCTGTCTTTACATGTCCGAGGGTGTCATTTTAGCACAAAACTAAGAATCACTTTGTTGGGGTTAACTTAGTTTAGTAATCATAATCAGTCAAACCCTTAAAGAAACCCTGGCTGAGGACTAGTTAAGAAACCCAGTCGCCCCCTTCCAGTCATCAGCCAGGGTTTCTTTAAGTTTATGTAGCCCAGGGTTGACGTTAATGCCTTTATCCATTAAACCTGGGATAGTTTACCGGCTGTCGCTGGATGTAGAAACCCACAAATGGGATATGATCAACCCCAGCTATGAACCCGGATATATATTTATATAGGGAGATTATAGTATATTAGCCAGTATTGATTGATATTCATGGGATTATACTAATTATAATGGATGGGATCATGAGATTATGAGATGGGATAATGGGATATTAATGAAATTATATATGGTATATTAATGGCCAGCATTGATTGATATGTTTATGGGATTTAATGGGAATAGTATTGAAGAATGTGGGTCAAACAACGGCACCTCAGCGACGGGAAGCAGCAACTCCTCCTGGCCGTCCAACTTCCACCGTATGATGGGAATTGGATTGGGAGATCCTCCGAGAATTCAACATAGCTATGAAAAATGGCCCATTCATACTGAAGTTACCCCAAAAAAAAAAGTGGGATTCTCCAGTGCATTCCATAAACCCCCCCAAAAAAATGTAGAAATACTGTTTTCATGTATATTATATTCGATATTTATGCAACTTTATATAGCTCGTTGAATCCAGTGTGCTCATTTTTTCAGGGGATAGCTATTCCACCCTATATAATAGCTGCATGTACCAGAAGTGGATGGTTATATTTTTTTCGGTGACAAATTTGGGTGTGTTGTGAACATGTAGGGGAGAAAACCATCCTGTGGGTTCGTTCTGAAAAACTGACGTGTTTTTTCAACAAAACCACTGGTTTAAAACATGATTTTCCCACAATTTCATATATGTTCAACTATTTGCATACATTATCATACATACATGTATTTATATATATATACACCATATACATATATCATACATATATATATATATACTATATATCATATATATGTATATGTGTGTGTTATGTATATGTTATGTTATGTTATGTTATGTTATATGTTCCTCATCTTCCTCATTAAATGTGGCCGTAACTTGTTAACTTGGTCGCCTTTCATCTTGCCTTGGTGAAGTTCACAGTGAACTCGCCGAAGGAGAAGGATAAATCGTTCAGTTCCTCAGGGGCTCCGTTACCTGTGGAAAAAAAACACATGTTTGGGTTTTTGTTTTGTTTAAGGGATATTCATGGGATTATAGTCATTATAATAGATGGGATAATGATATTATGATGGGATAATGGGATATTAATGAGATTATAGTATATTCATGGCCAGTATTCATTGATATTAATGGGATTTAATGGGAATAGTATTGAAGAATGTGGGTAAGACAATTTTGGGAATGGTTTACATACCACCTATAAAAATCGTGATAACTGGAGGGTGGTTTATTATTCTTTTACCTACATTACATTACCATATTTGTTTGTGTGTGTGAGGAGAAAAAAAAACATTAACCAACTATTTTGGGGTACCTGGGGTGCCAAACTTGACTTTTTTAGCCAGCTCGTTGCCCACTTTTTCGACGACTTGGTTTACAGCTGATTTTTGCTGTGGGAAACCCTGGCTGCCATAAACAACTACCGAAGTTGAGGTTGGTTTTTGTTGCACCCATAAAATATGTTGAGTCCTTGAGGGGGTGGAAACATTATTGGGCTTGCCACATGAACTTTATGTAACTTGTTTTTTCCCTGGCTTTGTGCCATATCACTGAGGTTTATGGATGTGATTACGGCCAAAAGTGAAAAAGCGCTCCGCTGTCAAACATGGCTTTTTTTCATGAAAATCCCAGAACTAGCCATGGCAGAACTAGCCATGTGAAAATCATCGAAACATATGGGGGACTTTCCAACGATGTTTGATTCCCAAAACTGATCTACAACTGTTTTGTGCTTCCAACTCATTGGATTTTGAGGGGGATCATTGGGTGACAGGAGATCAACCATTATATTGGTTAGATATAATCCATCAGATGGTTTTACATCAGTTGATGACAAAAATATAGGTTGTGGGGGATCATTGGGTGGATTTTCCTAACATCTTCGAAACCATGATCCGAATATTTTTTTTGAAGGCGCGCCGATTACCATAATTACATTTCAGAAACCAGGCAAGTAGCACCAACTAGCCCAAGTGTTGAGAAAAATCACCATTTTTAGCCCAACTGTAACTCAACAACAGCAATGGTGATTAAGCGCCGACAAAAAGGATTTGTCTGGAAACAGTGTATGCTCTGCCAATGGGCAATTTAGTTAAATAGAGATGAAAAAGGTGATGTGAAATGATTAACCAGTGGATCGAATGGGACATCCAAGTTTCCAAACGTTTAAATAAACCAAAGCAAACACATAAAATAAAATTGCAAATACCCTCGGGTAATTTAGAATAGCTATCCAAAATGAAATGATGTCCCCTAAATATTTTTATGGTGACCTTACATCATTTAGATCTTCCATAACTATGTAACAAATGATCAGAGGATACATCCGGTAGCTGTGCCCCGAGTTTCGGTGTCGCACATGCAGAGGATGGTATCGCCCATGAAACACCTCGCCGGCGCCCGAAAGAGATGCGTCGTCAGCTGCAGGTAGAGAAGCGCCGGCAGCACCAGCAGCGTACTGCCGGAGTCCAAGGCTCCAAAACCTGGATGCGATGACGGTGCGGTCGGAATGGGGGACGTTAAAAAAGGGGCGGTTGCAAATGGGAGGCAAGGAGTATCACACGCACGCAGATGTATATGGTATGTAAATACACACACACAGACACACACACACACACACACATATATATATATATATATACACATGCAAATGTAACTATCATGCATGCATATAGTTGTGGGTGTGTGTGTGTGTTGATGCGTGTTTGAGTTATGCTGATGTGCGTTGATGTATGCTGTCATTTGTCAACATTAAACAATCGAATTGAAATGGCGTTGAAGGGTCAATGTTTTCATGAAGGGTCATTGGGGTTGCTGAATCATAAAGGGTTACAATGGGCTACATAAAGTACTTGTTCAATAGGCTTGAAGTTCAACTGGTAATACCTTCTGGCTGGCGATTTTACACCCTTAAAAGGCGACTTCCCGATGCCACGTCTGATCATCATCCCCAATATGATGGAAAAATGTTTGAACCGTTGAATCCACCGGCCAACTTTTGGCCCATGACCCGCCAGCATGGAGAACCTGCCAGTACCAAATGATGGGGTTTTCCCCAAATCAATCCGCCAATTCGCAACATCATTCCCTCACAAAGCCAATGGCTTGGTCATACAATAACCAGATTACAACCCGCAGAAGTTTAAAAGGGGATACAATTGCCCTAGTAATACTTCTTGTAACATAGGGGTTGTTGACCACTTCCCAACTGAACTCACATCATTTGATATACCCCCTAGTGAATTAATTACATATATCCAATCATATTCACAGTATATCATTCCAAAACTGCAAAATTGTTGGTTTCACACCCACATTAATGCAAGGGAGGGTGTCCACCGAGTTTTTTCATGTTCGGCTAGGGGTTACAACCCTGGCACGCTAGTCAACCCCAAAAGAGCTTGAATTTATACATGTTCAACCCAAGAAAAAGAAAGAAGAATGATATATTTATTTCATTCCTTCTGGCCCAGCCCATTGATGGTTAATCAGGGTTTATCCCCACATTCCCCTTACCCCGATCAAATAATCCTAAGTATCCCTTGCTGATGATAAAATCCCGCTATTATCCCAACTAAATCCCCTCAAAATATGACACCAAATGATTCTGAAATGATTGAGAAAGGTGATCCCAAGAACCCACCAATCAAATCAAAATTGGTTAAGTTAAATCCCCATGTTTTTATGCCGATTTCGGCCACAAAAAATCGACCAAACTCATGAACGATCCAACCATCGGCCTGTCGCTGACAGCAGTGGTTTCCCGTTCTTCGAGTCGGTGATGTTGAGATCCATACTCACCTGGTTGGTGGTTGAGCCCTACCCTATATATGGTTAGTATGGTTTAATATGGTGCAAAATCCCATTGATGATCATACTTAGCTACTTAGCTGGTTGGTGGTTGAGCCACCAACCCCTCTGAAAAATCATCTGAAAAATCATGGGCTTCGTCAGTTGGGATGATGACATTCCCAATACCACCTGGCTATTTAACATAGCCATGGAAAGATCCACCATTTTTTAGTTCGGTAAACCATCTATTTCTATGGGCCATCTATACCATGGCGAACTGTTTGTCACAACCAGGGGGTATGATGGAAAAATCCATTAAAATCCATTAAAATCCATTAAAATCCATTAAATTCCATTAAATTCCATTAAATTCCATTAATCCCAATATCTGGAAAGTCATCAAATTCGTTCCCAGTCCCAGTCACAGTCCACATGGTGAGACCTATCTCCAGTGGATGCCTAGGCGGCGCCCGCGCTGGTCAGGTTGTGGGGAATGGGGAAATCGGACTGGAAAAAAATGGACAGTCATGGAAATACCATGGAAATATCGTTGAAAATATGGACATACTATGGCATTACATATGAAACATCGTTGAGAAAAAAAAACATGGAGGATGCCATGGAAATACCATGGAAATACTGTATCATGACATACCCATGACGGATCCATGGTGCTGCTATATATGGTAACATGGATCCCATCAACATACCCCCTTTATGTTAGCATATATACCAGCACCATGGATCCTATGCCATCATGAAATATCATGAAATGTCCCGTGGAAAAAATATGTAAAAAAAATGATCTGCTAAATGCTTAGAAGAGCGGAACTAACTGGATGTTTCTGGTATGATCCCATTATATATCTTTATGACCGCGTGTGACATTCAAGGAATGACCAAGACCAACCCAGCAGATTCCTTTTTCATCCTCTCCACAATAAAATGAACACGTTTCGTACGGAATCTGTTCATGCGGAAGTTCTTTGCACAGGGCGTTTAAGGGCATTGGGACTAAATTCACCAGACTGCCCTTGAAAGGACATATGTCAGGTCAATCGCATTTGGCACAAAAAATGAAGATCCCTACGCAAGTAAATTTAAGGTATAAAGTTCTGATTTACGTACCCTTAAATATGCCTGGGGCAAAAGAAACACCATTTATTTGATAATATGTGACCGGAAATATCACAAACAACATAATTACAACAGCATGACGTTCGGGTTTGCCTAAACAACAAAATTTAAGAAAACAGACTCAAATTAGGGCCATGAAAAGATGAGGAAAATCAACGTCAACTGTGCAACTTTGTAGCTCCGGTCCCTGTGCCCTATGCATTAGCTACCCACGGCGAGAAGTGTTTTCGTTTTGGACTCTTCCCAGCACCGTAAAAACCACCGTCATTACCTCGCTGCCCAAGCGGCACAGGCAACATGTGATGCTTGTGACCCTGCAACAACTCCTGGCTCAGTGATTCTCATAGCTGGGGCCACCCCAGTTGTGTTTTGTAAAGCCCATGAATACTATAGTTATATCATGTTATACCATGTCATGTTGTATTGACATTATCATATAAATGTTATATGTATATCCCCAAAAAATAGATCAATCTAGATCACGAAGTTATGTTCACCAACTTAGCTTTCGTCACTTTCTCTAAGCCAGATCTAGCTGGTGGTTTCGGCCTATATTCGGACGATCACCTCAGCGGGCCGAAGAAGATACCAGCGATAGATCAAAGATGATCAATGATGCTTCAGGGTTTCCACTTTTCTATCTTTTTTGGGGCTGCTATAATAGAAGTAGTTTGTATTTTTTCAAGGAAAACTTATGAAATACCTGCTGGTAAACTAACATAGCTATTGGAAATGGCCATTCAGTTCGTTTATTTACCTTTTGAAAATAGTGGTTTTCCAAAGTCATGTTAGTTTACCAAAGGGTAACAATCGTTCTCCTCATCTCTTCGGTGCTGAAACTAGGCTACGATATTTGGTGGCAAAATTCTGTGAAATGCACATCTGCATGGTGCAGTCTCATTAAAATCCATTGAGGAATACATATAATATATATATATATATATATGTGTGTGTGTGTGTAACCCTAATTACTTTTTTTGGCATGCATCAATCCATCTACAAGTATCCAGCTACCCCCACTGGGGTCAACTGGGCATGGCTCTCCTTGCATTCTCCGATTGCCATGAAGGGCTTCTTCGTGCCCAAAAGCAATGCGAAGGACAAAGTTACTCGGACAGGGCTCCCGGCAGCAAGGATGATGAGTCATTCATGACTGGCTACAAACATTAGGTTTTTACCAGCCAAAGATGTGGGATGAAACATAGTAAAACCAACCAATTTGATGGATATGTAGTGGGATACAATGGGACAAGAACAAAGGTGACAGCGCGATGAGGGTGGTGTGCGTTTACTGGCTTTCTAAAACAGTGAGAGAAATGGAATGTGCACAAAACCTACCCTCTGGTTATGACTAACATAGCCATGGTATAGATGGCCCATTTATAGATGGTTTACCTATTAAAAATGGTGATTTTCCATGGCTATGTTAGTCATAACCAGAGGGTAGATAGTTCGTTAGCCCACCTCATCCCACCCCACCCCCACACGTGAACGCCATTCACGAGGCGCCGTCACGCGCTGTCACCAAGAACATGGCACATGTTTAGCAAAGAAAAAAATGGGTCCCCCACAAAATCAGATTCGTAGCTGTAAGATATTTTTTCATAATTAAACGAATATACATACATATATATATATATATATTTATTTATATATGTATATATATACTTCAAATAGAAAAACATGTCCGCGCATCTGACAATTTTTTGCGCGAGATTCAGGTACTCCAACCAAGGTTTCTCCAAATGAGAGACACCAAAATCTGGTTGGTGGTTTCAACCCCTCTTAAAAATATGAGTTCGTCAGTTGGGATGATGAAATTCCCAATATATGGAAAATAAAATTGATATTCCAAACGGCCAACCAGAAAATGGATAGATAGATCCAACGTTCAACCGATGGGAGTCGCATCCCCAGTTGGTACGCAGTCACTATGGGTATCAACTGATCCAATCCAGCTGACTTGGATGCACTGACTTGGTACCAAGCCAAGTACCATATACCCTCTGGTTATGTCAAAATAGCTATGGAAAATTGCCATTCAGTTCGTTAATTTATCTATTTAAAAAAATGATTTTCCATAGCTATTTTGACATAACCAGAGGGTAGACCGTTTTGCACAATGATGGTCTCCTTCCAGTATGAAGGCCCCAATGGACTATGCGACTATCTGGAGCCATCACCCGACGTGGGAGCCATGGATCTATTCTGCATCATTTGAAGCCGCCGCAGGAAGGGAGTACCAAACCTGAAATGCAAAGCGAAATGACAGGAACTCCTAAGCATGTCATCATTGGAGAAAGCAAAAACAAAATGTTTCATGTGGAATATGATTCCAATAATGACAATGGTGCCATGGGACATGTTGGGGCATGTTGGGGCATAACTTTGCAATGTTCTTTGAGTATTTCACCATTCGGGCTGAGACACGTGAAATGATGTGCGGCTCAAAATGTGCAACAGTCCTATATATCAAGCGAAAAAAAGCGGATGGAACCTGCAACAACTCAAAGTACCAAACTATACCTCCCAGCGGTTTGCTTGCAAGATTATAGCGATTATACCGGCTATACCGCCATTTACTGTTGATTAAATGTCTAAACATTCCACCGTGTATGACGTTGCTAAGAAACATACGCCAGTCTCACACTAGTGATTCCACCAATTCCACCAACGACTGCCCATCAAACAACATCAAACATCTGCCTGGCTTACAGTCACTTCGAAAGGGGTGATAACTAATGTGAAGAAACATATGCGTTATGTAAATATATGTGTATATATATATAATTATATATGCATGCATGCATGCATATGTGTGTATATATATATATATATATTCGTGCATATGCGTATGCGCAACAGCTTAGTTAAGTTAATGCAACAAAACACCAAAAAACAAACAAACATACAAACAAACAAACAAAAATGTATGATTAACAAAAACTGCATTGCGCAGAATATCAAATCAACCATCCAGTCAAGGGACAATAGTTGACAATTCAAATGTTGTTTATTTTTGGAATCCCTTGCCTTTAGGCGCCGTTGTCGGGTAATCAAAAGTCATTTTCACAAAAAAAAACATCTTCTGATTGGTGCTTTGAATGTCCTTAATGCCTTCAAATGCCCAGTATGTCCTTACCCAATAAGGAATGCTAAACATTAGGACATATTAGGACCTTATGAGGATTAACATTATCATCCTTTGAATGTCCAATAAAACGTCCTTCTTGGACCATGGAAAACATGCCGTTTCTATCCTGTTTTTTTGGCTAAGGGACGGATCTTGTGAATCCCTGGGAAAGGCCAAACCCAACAAACCATCGAAGGTGTTGAGCTCCAAAACGTCTTTGATCTGCAGACCCTGGGCCAGGTCGGAATCCCAGGTCGGAATCCCTGGCGCCGACCTGAATCACATCCTGAAAATATCCTCATCTAAACGTACCCTCTGGTAAACTAACATAACTATGGAAAATCGCCATTTTTTATGGGAAAACTCACTATAAATGGCCATTTTCAATAGCTATGTTAAATCATCTAAATGTAGATGTAGAGAAACCACCAATGAAGTTACTATCTGCAGATCATTTTCCGAAACCTTCGGGCTTTCAGATTCTCCAGATTTTTGATTGAAATGGTGCTCACTTCATCTTCCTCCAGTGACAAAAACTTGCATTTGGGGGGGGAAAAAAGGTGCAACTAAGAAAATCAGTTTTGGAATCACAACTAACCACGTTAAGTCTACCTGCTCTGACTTCGCAACTTTGTGTTAGATCCTCTCCAGACTACATATATCGTGCAATCTTAGAAACAAAATACAAGATAAACCCATCTTGCCTGAAAAACAATGAAAAACACACGGGTGGATAGATGAGCAATTAGAAACATGGATAAGCAGAAAAATGTGGAAAAACCTGGCATAAATTGGCATCCCTAGATCAACATAGATCCATATAGATCCCTTTGCCCAGTTGCCATCACCAGATCTTGATCCTCCACGCAGATGCCAGCAACGCAAAAATCTTTCACCGTGATCGGGACGCCAAAGACGCTGCCTACGCCGAACCTCCATGATTGAACGGTGGATCTCCATGGGTTCCCGGTGTTCAAAACAGACGGTGGTCATTCCATGGTTCTGGTTAGGTACCCTCTGGTTATGTCAAAATAGCATCAAAATAGCTATTGAAGCCATGGCCCAGTCGAATTAGTGAGTTTTCCCATGAAAAATTGTGGATCTGTCCATAGTTATGTAAACGTTTACCAGAGGGTAATCAATAAGGATTTTCATACTGGATTCTGATCTATGAAAGTTTTCTGAAATAGGGGTACCATGATAGATCATCCATTTTAGTAGAAATTCCCATGATAGATCATCCGTTTGGGGTAGCTCTATTTTTGGAAACCTCCGTATAACCCTTGATATTTTAGTATAACAGCCTGCAATCATCTGAAATCTCCAAACAACAAGTGTTTCGAACACTGTTCACGAAGATGGTAGATGTATCGAGTTAACATGAGCCAACAAAGATGCGGAGACTAGGAGCCAACCTTCCCTGTGTCATTCCATGATTATATTATTGAAATTATATATTGAATTTTAAATTCATGATCAAAAAATGTTGAATGTTCTTTACAATATTTGTTTGAATATGTGTTTTCATGAAATGTGGATTTTTTAATGTTCGTACCGAGTTGACGATGGTTCATGATTGAATTTGATACATTCTTCGCGGAAATGGAAGCCAACAGAAAAGGGTCCACATGACTGAAACTGATCCATCATCTGGATTCATCTGATGTTACCCTT